TTGCTAAGAACCAAAATAGAGACGCAAAACGAACAAAGTCGGTGTGCGAGGGAATTGCTAGCTCCACCTAAGAGCAGGGCGGGATTGATTTAAGGGCAGCGCGATATCCGGCGGGGTAACACATGAATCAAAACTTCAATTGGCTAACAAATAAAGAGTAACATTTATTACATAATCGATTTAGAGAAAATACTAATGGCCAATTTGGCGTTCATTAATAAAGCAAGTAGATGGTTGATAACGTAGCGTCAAATTTGAATAACACAGAAAGGATAACGCGGACGCCAGAAAAGCACGGAAAATTACACAGATTTAATAAGCGCGCGGAAGGCATCGCGGTATTACGCAGGATAATACTAACAGAAACTAAATTCACAAACAAATAATATGAAAAGAAAACCAACTTCCCGAAGGCTTCAAATTAATAGAGCCGGCGACATCGGCAAAACATAATTGATGTAACGTGAAATAATATTGCGTGAGCTGACGCACGACCTGATAGCGCGTCCCGCTCGGAGCGCGTGAACGCAAGGGCCCAAGGCCGTGCGCAGAGATCTTGTCGCTAATAATCTTAATCTAACGCAAGGAAGAATCTTAGTCTACCGCGAATAATACTTTTAATCTAGTGGGAATAATATTCTTAATCTAAGGCGAATAATCTTCTTAAGATAACGCGAATAACATCTGGACGTAACTAATCAGTCGGGGTGATCCGTATTTTATCGTCATTTTATCACGCGAATAACGTCCCAACAACGCCAGGAGTCAATTGGCGCGAAAAATATTCTCACGCAAATAATATGTCGACGCGGACGATTTTCTCACGCAGTTATTATCCTACGTACGTGCTCGAAAGCAAGACTCAGGCGCGAACAATACGGCAATGCCGGTAACATCGGGACGCAATCACGGGAATAATGTCTCGGCACAATTCCTATACCGCGTAGATAATCTACGTGTCCGGACGCGAATCGCGAACAAAGTAATTACCAGCGCAAACAACCGTCTGACGCAATTAATACTATCCCGCGTTTAACATTCGGCCGGGTGAATTACTACGCACAACGAGACACGCGGACGTGAACGCGAAGGGCGTGAGAAATGGCGTACTCGCGATATCGAACGTCGTCATCGGCGTGCTTACCGCGATCTCCAGGAGTCGTAGATTTCGGTCGCGATCCCACGGCCACGAGACCAGTCCGGGGCCCCTCGCTTTCGCTATCGATTGCCAAATACGCCTTGTCGGCGAGTACGTAATTATCGCAAATATCCCCGAGCGAGAGCGCTACCCGGGGAGCGGTGTCGTGGCTTTACATGATTGTTACGCGAGGCCAACCTCACCGTAAGTCGATTCTCTCCCGAGGATCCTCGCCGTCGTCCCAAGGGTAAGAAGAATACAGCCCAAAATCTTATGCGCCTCAAAAAGGGCGACTCCGGTCGCAAGACCGAGCACAACGGTTCGCAGTTACGTGCGTCGGCGATCGAGAACGGCTCAAGAATACTCCCGAAATTTCGCTCGATGGCGGAATCGATAGTGTACCCCACCCCGGGCGTACGCGGCCCCGCGACGCTATAGCGCGGACCAATCAGGGGTGAGCTCGCAGGCTCGCGGTGGATTCTTGCGTAGGGCCGTTAATCACGGCTTTTCGCAGGGCGCCAAACAGTCCCTCGTTCGCGCGGCAATTTTTCCAGGATCCTTCTCGGTAGCGGACGGGACGTGATTGCCTCCGCGTTCCCCTTTGTCGGTCCGGAAATGGTGGCCAACCATCCCGGAATCCGGTCAGTAGGGTGAGGAGGGCAGGTGAGCTGATTTTGCCCCGGTGTCCCGGGGCCCTGCCGTTACGGATCCGCCCGCCGCTGTTTAGCCGCCGCGCGCGTGTCCTCTCGCGCTCCCCTGCTTTTGACGGCCCGCGCAAGCACCACCGAGATCCGTTTCTCGTCGTCCGATTCCTCGCCTCTATCCTTGTCGTCGACTCCATTTTTCCGTGATTCTCACGCAGCATCTTCTCAGGAACTTTGGTTTTCGGCTCGGTGAGGCGCCGCACAAATGATACAAAATAAAAATAAGGAATTAGAATAACGCAACGCAAGTATAATCTGCCCCTGGAGATCTCCCATCGATTCATTGAACCGTCCTCGGGCGCGAAAAAGGTCGCAAAACCCGCGCCTTGTAACGGCGGCAGGGCGCTGCAACGCTGCTGCAGCGAAACTGCAACGTCACAATACATATATATTGGAAATAATACAATAGTAAATGCACCGAATACTGTGCATCTCTTAATATTAACAAACTAGGGCGGCAGTGTGGTCTAGTGGTAGAGCCCCAGACTCGCGTAATCTGAGGAATCAGGTTCGAGTCCACTATAGAGCCGTAAAGCATGGAATGTTTTTCCGATAGCTTACGCCCCTCCGTGCAAGATAGGCTCTTGTGCGGAGAAAACTGGGGTCCGTCTTTCGGAAAGAGAAGTTAAGCCGTTGGTCTAAAGGGTTAAAGTGAGAGGAGAAGGATAGTATTGGTAGTAGATTGCGAACCCTGCGGGGATATGCAATAAATTACGAATTAATATTAACAAACTATTCATATAGATTGTTTTTCGCTTCTCATTTCTTGTCTCTTTTGTTTTTTCTCATCTTTTTAGTCTTTTGTCTCTTCTTTTCTTATCCTCTCTTCTTTTTCGTCTCTTGGCCGCGATAGTTATAATATTGTTTTTTTTTTCATATCATATATGGTAAATGTATAACTGATGGACATTATATATAAACATTATGCGTAATAAAAACACGGAATAAATTTCAATTAATTATTCTAAAGTAAATAATTGCAGTTAGCCGCAAAATGCCAAAAATGCATACATTTTCTTCAACAAAAAATGTAACGCTAACGGCTCACAATAGATTTTAATTGACTCTGAAGTAAATAAATAACAAACCAAAAAATGTGTGTACTTTGAAAAAAGTAGATTTCACAAAAAGCAATAAAATCCTAATAAAGTCTTTACAAAAAAAATACACCAGATACATAACAAATCAAATTATATATGTATGTGGATTTTGGGAAAAATAAACTTTTCAAAAATTAACTTTATTTACAAATAAACATGAGATTAATGCAATTAATAAAGTACATATATAATTATATTCTATTTAATGTTATAATCTGAATGTTTTTTAGTACTACTACCTATATATTAAGTAAGAAGTATTTAGCTCTCTCATCTACTCTGCATGTACTTACATATTAATAATAAATGCTAAAATCTCCAGATGAAAAATTGAGGAAAAACTTAATCGAGATATCAAAACTTGGCGTGTCAAAATAAATACATTGACTTTCTCTATAATTGTTTGAAATGCTATTAATTTTTATAAACATTTTTGAACATATACGTCTGTTATTTGAGCACGCCAAGTTTTTGAATCACGATGTTGTTTTTTCTCAATTTCTCACCTGGATATTTCAACATTTACTCTTAACTCGGGAAAAAAAGAATTAGATCTGCCGAGATATAATCAGATCTAGTTTATCAGATCTGGCCAGATATAATTTGATCTGCAAATTGTCTCTATCTGGCCAGATCTGAACAGATATAACCAGATCTGACTAGATATAATTTGTTCTGGTAGATATAATTATTTACCGAATCTATCCAGAACTACTGATATAATTAAAAATTATGAAGAGATGTAAAATGTTATAAAACTATAAATATATCGATTTAATTCGAAATTGTGTGTCACTTTATTATAAGCGTGCGATACAACTAATGATATAAGTTGTATCGTACACTTGATTTATATACCATATTCTTATACTATCGTTTGTCATATTTTAAATACCAGAAACGGATCTCATCAAATGCCATCTATCGGATGATCCGAAATTTGCACAGGGTACAACAAAAAGGTCGGGACACTGAATTATCTCGGAAAGATGACGTTTTCGGAAGAAATGTTTTATACAAAAGTTTTAGGGTACCAAGTTATCCATTATGTGGTGATATTGATTTGACCTTGAACAATCTTGAGAAAGTCACATCAAGGTCATATTGAGTTCTTTAAACGGGGACCCCTAATTTTTATGTCATATTCTTGTAACCTTCGAAAAGTTTTCAAAACACTAAGATAAAGCTCTCTTTTGTTAAAAATTTCCTAAAATATTTTAAATTTTGTCATGACATTTTTAATATAAAATATGAGATATCTCATAGGGTATTTACTTTTCGATAACTTTGCCTTCATACTTTTACACGTAGAATAATGAAAGGAATCGACTAATAATATTAATTTTTATGAATCTTAACATTTGCAATTTTGCAAAATTAAATACGTCTACAAAATGCAATCAAATTTTTTAGAATATTTTTTTTTCTTTTTTTTTTTTTACAACAATTAATTCCCGACCTTTTTGTTACACCCTGTATAACCAATAAATAATTCTTATTCGAGTTGATAATTATATTATGCAAAATTCCAAATACTTCAACAAAATTTTTAATGTAATCTAGCTATTAAATAATAATCAAATTAAGAATTTTTTCACTTTTGTTTATCCATTATCTGTAAGTTTACAATGTACGAAATAACTTATATTTCTGTGATTGTCTTTTGTATTTTAGATATAAGGCGAATTGATTAAAATGCTTTTATAATTTTATTGATCTCATGTCTATTTTTTAACAAAGTTAATTTTTGGAACATGTACTTTTTCCAAAATCCTGCACATATATATACTTTGATTTATTATGTACTTTGCGTATTTTTTTTTCTTTTATTAGGATTTTAATATTTCGATAAACCGTGTACGTGTTATAATTATTAAACCCAACAGCCGATAAGTCAAGTTACTATGACCCAGCGAATTATAATGCACCTTACTATACATGGATGTCCACTGTCCAGTATATAGTATTACAACACGTTATTGTTATTGTCAATACAACGTTAATAATTTAATATCCAATTTTTATTAACAACTGTAAAATTATTATTAAACATGTAGGTGCTGAAAACCATTTTGCCACAGTTGAAGAACGCTCAACAGGCGCAAGAAAATACGTCCAAAGACTATAATAACGCATTACCAATCCAAAGAACAAAGTAAGTATTTTTTGTATTTAAAGTGTCCCTCCCGAATGTTTCTACAATACATAAATTGAGTTTCAAAGGCAAATAAATTACAATAAATCGTCAAGCAGTTTAATCATTTCAAAATAATTATTATTAACTATTATACTAATGTGGTATTGAATACTCAAAATCGTTTTGACTTCTTACTAGATTGTTTCTAGATCTATTATAGAGGCACTACACAGTCGAGATTATTTAACCCTTTGAAGCACGGCACATCAAAGGATTTATATGAAAAAAAAATTTTCCGTCAATTTTTTGAATTTCTAATATGTTATGGTACTTGTGTCTCTGATAAAAAGTTTCAAATTTTATCAACTTTCTGATTAGTTTCTGAGTTATAAGAATTTGAAAGTCGCGTTCACAAGACTGTCTGTACGTTTGTCTACAGGAGTTTACACTTAATACAGTGAATAATCAAACACGTGAAATACAGGCAAATGAGAGCCGAAGCGCCGATTACAAGGCGACAATTATATAATATATTTAAACTCCGAACACAATACATACGTTTCGGTCAGTGAATAATAATTAATGAAAGCACGAATAGAAAGCTGAAAATCGTCATAGAAGAAATGCAATATGGAATCAATTGAATGAAAATTATGCACTTCTTTTTTGCTAGACTTACAAGGGAACATTTAGAATTGTGCCTCACCGATTTTAATGGGCTTTGGCTATGTTGTAGAGTAGCGAAAAATAACACAGGTATTTTTTTTTAGTTCGAAGCATGTTTAAGGGTTGAAATAACTTCTCAAAACAAATTCCATATATTCGAATACGAGTGAATATCTTTAAAATCTTGAAGTAAAAAAATGTTTTAAACAAAAAGGTTACAGTATTAAGTGATCTCTATACGTGCATTTAAATTTTTAACAAATTATATTTTTGCAAAAATATAATACTGAACAGTAGGGATATATTAAAAAATCATACTTCTTGATCAAACTATGATGTATATAACTATATAGATACTCTTAAGTTAAAATTTCTGAAATATAAATAATCTGTTATAGAATTAATAAGATAATTCTGATAAAATTAAGATAATTAGTCCGGCCCGTAAACTCATTTTCTTAGAAATCTTGTAAAAATTGGACAGAGCATATTAATGTAAACACGCTCTACACAAATGTGCAATTAGAAAAAGATTGACCAAAGTTAAAATAATAAAAGTCAAAATTAGCACTTAATTGTTACGTATATTATAGGACAAAAACGGCTTCCGATATCACGCTTGTAATTGTAGAGATCAAAGTACTCTTATGGTTTTAATGAAAGAAGATGATAAAAGAGACTTGCAAGGATATTCTTACAAAAATACAAGCCCTTTAACCGTCCAGTTTCTAAGCAATTGATACTGAAAGTACACAATTTTTGATAGCGGTAGACACATATGACAACTAATCTTTAGAAGATCTAATAGCACATATATTAGTGCATGTATATATACATGTATGTACATATAAGATTCTCACACACGTGCATAACGCGGAAAACCCCAGCCAAATACTATATATATGTCATTTGTCTATCATTAACTTTTTGACAGTATTGTCACGGACAAACTACTTTAACTGAAATATATTGATTCTGAACTGATTTAAAAATTGCAAGTTTTAAGAAACACACGCTATAGATGTCTTATACAGCACAAAAAGTTGAAACAACGTTGCAATGTTGAATGTTGAAGTTTAAATCTTTCCAACGTTGAATCTATGTTGATTCTCTACATTGATTCTTTATGTTGATACAATATTGAAGCAACATTGAACAATTATTAATCTTTCCGCGCTAGTTTACAACGACGCCGCTAAACGACAGATGACGGTAAGACCAACTCGTAAGTAAATTTCAGTTGGGGCGAATATAAGCAGACCCCCGGCAAAGCAAAATCGTGACATTTGCAGGTTTTCGGATCTTACTCTTTTTTTAGATGAAGAGGAATAATCTAATCTGAGCTCAGAAAACTTTCAACAGTTACGTTTCAACAAATAAAAACACGTTTTTCTAAATGTTAATCAATATTTAACAATTTAATTGTTGTTGCATTGTTTTTAATATTTGGCAGTTAATATATTATTACAAGATTTTTTAACACTATATAAAGATGTGTTATATACAAGTATAAGCAAGAAGGAAGCGTCAGAGAATCACCACTAGTCCGTTTGATCATCGAGCAATGTTTTCTGAATGTTGAAACAACATCTACAAGATATTACAATTTAGCAGACATTAGACGTTATATTACAAATGTTGCAATGCAATGTTTTTGAGATGTTGATTCACCATTTGTGTGCTGTATGAATTTTATTATTTATCAATATGAGCTTATGAGAACGAAATGATGATATATACGAGCCTAATTAATTCGCTACTAAAGTGTTTATTGTTGTTTTTGAACATAGATATTTTAAAAAGTGTTAAAATTTTGTATTTTTTAAGGGCATTATTTTTTCTAATCAATTATAATTGGTGAAACAAAAAACCTTATATAATTTAAAAATGCATAAAAGAGAAATTGCAATAAAACATATTTATCATAAACTGTCGTTTTATAAATTTGTATTTGTTATTAATTGTATTACGAGGTTTTTATTTTTTTATATATAAACCTTATAAAGAAATACTGAAATGCATCAATGCATGGCTTCGCTGAATACCATTTGCCGGTAATTATGCACATTAACACCGCACTCGCCAAAGACCTTGACCTTGACATATGTTGTCCCTCTCCTGAGTGACCTTCAGAAGGTTTTAGCCGGCGGTCGTTATTCGTTAAAAAGTTATTAACAAAAAAAGGGTTGGAAAATATAGCAGCTATTTTGAATATTGGAAGACATAAATGACTAATATATATATATATATATTAGAGCTCGGAATACCCGGGTATCCGGGTACCCGCCCGTTCGCCCGTTACCCGTTGTATACGGATCTGGACCGGTTCCGCGGGTACCCGGGTAATTCGGGTAGCGGGTACCCGTATCGATTCGGGTACCCGCTACCCGTGTCAATACGGGTACTTGTTATACCCGCGTCAGTACGGGTACCCGTATCGAGGCGGGTATAACAGCGTATGCCACAAATATCTGCGCGGCGTATTACACGGAGACGCGTATACGCAAAGTAATAAAATATAAATTCTCACACGCTTCAAAAATATATTAAATATATGAAAGAATGCTTTTATATTAACCCTTCGTTTTTTCGATACCTTCTAGTGCATACGTGAGTCTGTCATGTTCAACGCTCCCTACCTTAAAGTATTTTAAAAAATCTGAAAAAATTTATAAAACATCTGTCTACATTGTAGTTGACAATTTTATAATTTTTTGATAACCATTTGTTTATTTAATATTTGCTTTTTAATGAACTTTCAATAATATTAGCAAAATTATTACTTATAAAAAAGATATTACGTCTAGTGCATACATGGGTCTGAGACGTCCGTGCGAGACTTAACTTGCTCGGTATTCGGCGATATATTGATCTTTCGTAACAGCTCTGGGTCCCTCTTGAGTCCCTTTTCTCACTTGCTTTTTTAGAAATGGAGGCAGGCTTGCCAGTTTTACAGTTACGAGCAGATATTATTTTGGCTCGGACGCCGTAGACTCACGTATACGGAAGGTTAAATATGCGTTACACATTATGTGGATAAATAGCTATATGTGTGTAATTATATTTGAAATTTCTATAAATTGCTTTACGTGTAATTTTATATATTTTCTTATTTTACATGCATATATATCTTTTTAAAACCAGTAATATAATTATATATGATATAATACTATCATTATTTTATACAGAGCGCCTTGGGTTTTACCCGATAAACTGCGGGAGCATATTCTACAAGTGAAAATAAGAAAAAAATATTATATGAAGTTTGGCTAGATATTTGTGGCATACGCTGTTATACCCGCCTCGATACGGGTACCCGTACTGACGCGGGTATAATAAGTACCCGTATTGACACGGGTAGCGGGTACCCGAATCGATACGGGTACCCGCTACCCGAATTATCCGGGTACCCGCGGAACCGGTCCAGATCCGTATACAACGGGTAACGGGCGAACGGGCGGGTACCCGAATACCCGGGTATCCGTTTCTTTTTCCGAGCTCTAATA